ATTTGGGATAAGCTTTAAGTCACTCATTAAGGAACCGACGAAGTGAGGGAATCAAAGAAAAGTCTTCTCAACCATAGCTACGAGAACTTCAAGATGAAATCCGATGAAGACATCAAAGCTATGACGGATAGATTTTCCGTGATTGTCAACGGTCTCAAGGGATATGAATAAGTAATCCCTAATGAGAAGCTTGTAAGGAAGATGATATACTCTCTTCTAAAGGAGTGACAATCGAAGAAGAAGACCATTATCGAAGCAAAAAACCTAAAGTCTCTCACTCTCGACGAGCTAATTGGTTCCCTTCTCACTCATGAGATGATGGTGAAGGAAGATGAAGAAATAGAAGAGAAGAAAAACAAGAAGAAGAAGAAGAATAAGGTAGGCATTGCTTTCAAATCCACCAAAGAAAGCTATCAAGATTCAAGTAATGAGGTGGATGAAGAAGACGATGAACAAAAAGATGAGATGGTTAAGCTCTTAAAAGAGTTAAAGAGATTCATGACTTCCAAGAAAGTAAAGCATGAATCAACCAAGAAGAAGAGTCCCCCGGTGTGTTTCAATTGTCAAAGAATGGGGCATGTCAAGTATGATTGTCCCCTTCTAAGAAAGAATGGATCTTCCGAGAAGAAGGCACATGTTACAGCTTTGAGTGATGAAGATGACTCCAATGATGATGAAGTAGTCAACCTATGCCTAATGGCCACTCATGAAGAATTAGAGGTATCTTCTAACTCAAATGAATTTAATTCATTTACTTTTGATGAGTTACAAGATGCTTCTAATAGGTTATATTTAGGATTTGAGACCATGAATTCCAAATATACGAAATTAATTTCAAAACTCAAAATTGAAAATAAATCGATTTTGAAAGCTAGAGTTGATTTTGAAAATCAAAATGAAATTTCGAAAAATGATTTAGAGCTTTCAAAAACCAAAATAAATGATTTAGAAAAGAAAAATTTTGAGTTTGGAGTTAAGCTTGAAAGCTTAACAAAAGAAAAAGAATTAATTTCTAAAAACAGTCTATTATGTTTAAAAATGGCAAAAATGCTCACATTGCCATTATCATGGTCATTTGGAACATACTTGTCCTTTGAAGAAAGGAAAATGTTTTAGAATTAGGCAAGTATGGGTTCCGAAAGGAACAAGGGGCATTGAAACTAACGTCCAAGGATCCAAAGCAATTTGGATACCAAAATCGAAATAAATGTCTCTTGTAGGTGTATGGGAGCAATGGTGATGAAAGTGATGATATTCAAGATGCTCTAGCCTCACATGAAAAAGGAATCTGTAACTTCTAAGCTTAATTCTTTTAATTTTGGTTGTTTGGTTTTAAGCATGCATGAGTTTTAGTTTTAAATGATTATGCATCATTGTTTTAATCTCATGTATGTTGAAAAGATGATTATGATGAACATTTTAAAGTTATATTAATTTTTTAAAGAGTTTTTAGTTTATCATAATAAAATTTTGGTCAAAATTGGTTTTAATGCAAATGATATATCTCTAACAATTGATATCAATTTTTCAAATATTTTGATTTTACAAATTTTAAATTTTTGACCTAAATTTGAATGTTTATGCATATGGTTTAAATGAAAATGATATCTCTCTAACAATTGATATCAAAATTTTTCAAATGCATAACATATTTGGAAAAGCTTTATGCATATGCACTTAATTTCCACAATTGATATTGCATAAAGTATTTTAGACTTGGATATATTGAATTTCATGTACTACTAACATCTTTGTTATTCTTTGTTGAAATTCAATTTTGTTTAAGTGTCAAGTTCTTAAAAGCTAAATTTTGTTTGGAATGCATTTATTGAGGGTGAGCTTTGATTTTTCAAATGATTTTTAAAATGTCAAATTTACTACTTACTCTCCAAAGTTATTTTGAACTTCAAATATTGAATTATTTTTGATATAACAAAAAATAGAAGAAGTTTGGTTTGAAAAATTCAATTTCTTAATGAAAAAGAGGGAGCTTAACATTTTCATATATTTTCCAACAATTGGTAACAATTGATATTATTTTGTTAACAATTGATATCTTTTTCATTAAACATTTTATTAAGGGGGAGTTTTGCCAAAAAACAATTTTTCAAATGTTTTGTTATATCAAAAAGGGGGAGATTGTTTAATTATGTTTCGATATAACAAATTTAAGGCAAAATGTTTTTGGACTTGAATTGAATTTATTCAAAGTTTTAAAAAGGTTTCAAAAATAATTCAAAGTCCATTAAAATCGGATTTGAGCAAAAATGCTAAAGGGTGTCAAAGTGCATCCATGCACTCAAACACCGAATGCAATTAGTGTATCGATGCACCCTGCTGTGCATCCGTGCACCCAGGCTGCAACGGCTAGTTTATTTTAATTTAATGAAGGGGTACAGATGCACCTTAATGGTGTACCGATGCACCATGTTATGGGCGGCCTTTTTGAGTAGAAAAAACATCCTCAAACGGCTCCAAAACATCCCCAATGATTATATACGACTTCAAACACATTCCAAGCTATAAATACAAGCTAAGGACACTTGAAGAAGTAAGAAAACAACTATCCAATCAATCAAACATAAGAGAAGAGTTTTACATTCTTATTTCATCTTTCTCTTGTAAATATTTTGTTCTTGTGAGCTCAATCTTGTAAACACCTACCTTAGAGAGGTTTTGTTGCTTACGTTTCTTATCTTTTGTAAAGGTGAAAGGTTCTAACTAAGCCCGTGTAAAAGCTAGGGAAAGGTTATAGTTTAGCCATTGAAAAACTAGGGAGTTGTAAAGGTTATCTCTTTGTCCTTGAAAAAGAAAGAACAAATTAGTGAATTTGTTGGAAAATCCTTGGTGAGGAGCTAAGGTAGTTGATGTAGACTTGGTTGAGAAGTCAAACCACTATAAATCGTTGTGCAAATTTCTATCTTTCAATCTCCTTACTCCCTAAACACAAAAATCATTCCGACCCCTCTTTGCAAACCTATTCTGTTGTCGATTCGAGCTTCCAAAAATCCCAACATTCTTGTTATAGATAAAGCCAATTATATTAATGATAATAGCCAAATCTTGATTAAAGATGAAATTATACATTCAAATTAATTAAAGTTTACATCTGAAGCTAGTAATTAATTACACAAATCTTTGCACATGCTAAAACAGGCTGCAAGTTCTGAAAACTTACAATTTGGTCCCTAAATTTATTAAATAAATTTATATTTTATATTTTATTTTTATTATTTTTATCTTAAATTAGGGTTGTGACAAAAATGGAGGGATGTTACAAGGGTAAGGTTGAAACTAAAGGATAAGGGATTAAAGAAGCAGCCGAGTTGCAGTTGGATTTTTTTTTTGAAAATAATGCGGGCTCATTAAAAACCCCTTCTAATCTTAAAAATGGGAAAAGAGTGCCCAAAATTTCATTAATAGAGAAGTAATTACATCTTTGTGAATGTCTCTAGCAATGATATCGGGACAAACCAAATCAAAGAATAATGCACTATCAGAACAACTGACCCAACTAGCGAGAGCATGAGCCACATAATTACAATCACGATTGATATAACTAATGTGGAATCTAGGATTAGTTTGAAAAACAACACGTGCTTCCTGAATGAAAATTCCCAATGTCGAGATGTCATCCGAGTCCCGTGTAATTTTGTTCACAAGTATCTAGTTGCAACTGGATAGAACTAGAGAATAAGTTCCATGTGTTTTGTGCTGGTACCAAATCTCATTCTCATGCCGAACTTATTTACCCTGTACTACATGAACTTCATGCAAAATGAGGAAGGATGGAAATATATCCAATACTAATTACTTGTAGGAGGAAAATTTGGTTAATTTTGTAGACGCAACAGTTTTAATTCGAGTCCTCTAAGTAAACAATCTTAGATACTCAGTTATATTAATGAGGATAAAATATCATATCCTTGTTACATATAGAGCCAATTATATTAATGATAATAGTCAAATCTTGATTAAAGACGAAATTATACATTCAAATTAATTAAAGTCTACATCATAAACTAGTAATTAATTACACAAATCTTTGCATATGCTCTGATGCGCCACCTAGTGCGCTGCCGCCTTCACCGTCCCCGCCCAATGCCTCCGACCACCTTACTGTCATCGGCTTAACGCTGTCATGCTCCTCGTCCAGCATTCATTAATTTTTGAACCTCAACCAGTTAACCCCGGACACCTCTCGAATTGGTTAGGTAATTTTAATGCCAAGTTGTCGCGACCCTAATGGCTAATCCGATAACGCATAAGACCTTGAGCAATGATATAACCAGTGAAAATGTATAGGTATTTGGTGGCTATGAACTGTTATTACGTGATTGACCCTGCCGGTTCAAGTGCTGCCGTTGACCGCGGGAGAGATTTTATACAGGTGTTTGCCTATCCTAAAACTGTGCTGTAAATTCTGTTTAATGTTAACTGTGATTATAAAGTTTGAGCGTGTTTATTTGACCAAATGGTTCTGGTGCTAAACATTTGATTGTTTTGATGCTTTTGCTGTAGTGACTGTCAAACTTGAGTGTTTACGGGCACTAGAGTTATAGGTTCAGTAATTGCATCGATTCATCATCACCGAAACCCGGTTTTGCCTAATCCAGCTGTATACATATGTGTGTATGTATATAAGATTCCTCATATATTGGTATTATAATGTGTACTTTGTACATGTAATACTTGCTGATGAGTGGGGGAAAGTATAGATTGGCTGTTTAGCATGTGGTGGGATGAAGCATGAACCTTAGACTTGTGGTTTGATGAGTATTGCTTAAATAACTAACCAAAATTTGGATGGTTTAATGGACTCTTAGGAAAGATGTTAATGATTCTGTGATGCTCTTTCAATTCGTCATATATTATGTACTGACCTTCCTAATTCTACTTCTATCCGGATTGATGCTAACTACCAGAATATTTTTGTAACTTCTCCTTCGTTGATTCCTACTTATTCTTATTTTTCTGGATTCATATTTTCCTTTGTTTATATATTGTTTTCGAATTCTATTGTCCTTAAGTTAGATTGATTTTTTCCTTTTTCATTTTGCAGGCTTCATGTTTAAATTTTGCAATCTTTTCAATTGGATTCATTTAGTGCCCGGGGGAAAATGTTTGTTATTTCTCGAGCATTAATCACATTTAGATGTATTAATAAATTCACCGTTCTTTGGAGCTTAAACGGACTCCGGTCTCCTCTTTTAGTGAAGAGAAAATCTATTATTACCAGTATAGATTACAGTATTAATTCAAGCGTGGCGCAGTCCAATTGGTTGATCACTAAGTTAAGTAAAGAAGGCAAAATATGCCAAGCACGACAATTGTTCGATAAAATGCCTGAAAGAGATAAAGATGTAATCACTTGGACTGCAGTGATATCTGCATATGTCAGGCTTGGGTTAATTGAGGAAGCCAGGAAACTGTTTGATAGAGTTGATTCCAGGAAGAATGTAGTAACATGGACCGCGATGTTAAATGGCTATATGAGATCAAATCGAATTGTGGATGCCGAGAGATTGTTTGAGAAAATGCCGGTTAAAAATGTTGTGTCTTGGAACACTATGGTTGATGGATATGTGCAAAATGGGATGGTCGATAAGGCTTTTGAAGTGTTTGATGAAATGCCCGAGAGAAATGTGGTTTCCTGGAATACAATGTTAACTGCATTGGTGCAAAGTGGGAGAGTTGTGGATGCGAGGGCATTCTTTGATAAGATGCCTAAAAGGGATGTTATTTCGTGGACAGCTATGGTTGCAGGGTTGGCGAAGAATGGGAGGGTTGATGAGGCTAGGAGAGTTTTTGATAGGATGCCAGAGAGGAATGTGGTGTCGTGGAACGCAATGATTACTGGCTATGCACAGAATATGAAATTAGATAAGGCTTTTGATTTGTTTGAGAGGATGCCAGAGAAGGATTCGTCTTCCTGGAATGGGATGATCACAGGGTTTATTCAGATTGGGGAATTCGGGAAGGCCGAGAAATTGTTTGGTGAGATGCTATGTAAGAATGTGGTTTCTTGGACCACGATGATCACAGGATATGTTCAAGGTGAGAAGAGTGAGGAAGCATTGAAGATTTTCTCGAAAATGTTGGCAGAGAACAGGGTAAAGCCCAATGAAGGAACTTTTGTCAGTGTTTTGAGTGCATGTAGTAATTTAGCTGGGCTTATCGAGGGACAGCAGGTTCATCAGACAATAGTGAAAACAGTTTATCGGCGTAGTGAAATTGTTGTATCTGCACTTATTAACATGTATTCCAAATGTGGGGAATTGAGTATTGCTAGGAGGATGTTTGATGACGGATTAATAAACCAAAGGGATGTGGTCTCATGGAATGGTATGATTGCAGCTTATGCACATCATGGATGTGGTCGGGAAGCCGTCAGTTTGTTCAAAAGAATGTCCGATTTACATTTTAAACCTAATGATGCGACCTATGTGGCTTTGCTCTCTGCATGCAGCCATTCTGGTATGATGGAGGAAGGACTAAGGTACTTTGATGAACTTGTGAGAGATAAGTCCATTCAGGTCAGAGAGGAACACTATGCATGCTTGGTCGACCTCTTTAGCCGAGCAGGGAAGCTCAAGGAGGCCTTTGAATTCATTGTGCAGCTTGGGATCAAACCATCTGTATCTATTTGGGAAGCTCTTCTTGCCGGATGTCATGTCCATGGGGATGCGAATTTAGGAAAATTAGTTGCAAAAAAGATTTTAGAGGCAGAACCAGAAAATGCTGGCACTTTCTTGTTGTTGTCTAACATGTATGCTCGGGGAGGAAAATGGAGAGAAGCTGCAAAGGTAAGGTTGAAAATGAAGGACAAGGGATTAAAGAAGCAGCCTGGTTGCAGCTGGATAGAAGTAGAGAATAAGGTCCATGTGTTTGTGGTTGGTGCCAAGTCTCATTCACATGCTGAATTTATTTACCCACTACTGCATGAACTTCATGCCAAAATGAGCAAGGCTGGAAATATATCCAATACTAATCACGTGGAGGAGGATTTTCTGGTTTTATAAAAGTTTTTAATCTGCTAATGTCTCCTATGGAACAATTTAAAGGATTATTACCAGAGTGATTTTTGAGGGAAATTTGATTTTGTAGTCGGCGACGGTGACAATAACCAGCATTGCGTTTATGTGGAAAAAGAGAGAACTTTGCCCAGAAATGCACTTAATTAATTTCTTGCGTTTTGAGGTCTAGCATTACGCATTCCGATGGAATTTCGATCAAGTATGTCTAAATTTATTTTTTTAATATATAAAGAATTATATTTCAGACTCTTATTTTAAAATATTTATGTCATATTCATTAAAAGATTTTGATACATGTAGGTGTGTTAGAAAGTTGAGCGTAATCTGATACATCAATTACTTTTTCATTCTTAAAGACAAGGGAGAAGAAGTAGATTCTTAAGAAAAACAATAAGTCTAGAATTAAGTTAATCATCTTTGCAATTAATCATAATGATTTTTAATTTTCTTTTTAATATTTTTGGAATACATATCACTTTACATCCTAATATTTTTTTCTCTCAATTTACCCCTTGAATTATCTTTTCTATCTTAAAAGATATCTACACTCAAAACATTACTTGTTTTTTTTAACAAGATACAAATTATAGTTTAAGAGGTAAATGGAGAAAAATATTATAGTTTAGGATGCAAAGTAAGAAAAAAAATATACTTTCAAAAAGGAAAAATCATGAATTAAACCTATTTTCATTGGACACTTTTAAGGATTATTTTTATTTACTTCTTTTTTCTCAAGTATTCTGATTTATCTTGTGAAGATTATTTTTATTTTACTTCTTTTTGGTTTCTTGAGGGAGGATTTATCTTAAGATTTTACTAAATTCTTAAAGAATTGTTGTAAAGTTAAACATTGCACAAAAAACTCAGAAAGATAGGATAGTAGAATAGACAAATTGGAAGTGAACCACTACAAAAATCTGTCCATTGTCTTCACTTCTGCTTTCGAAAAAATTTAAAACGTCAATTCACCCCTCTAAAGAATATATTTCATTGTTCGAGTGAACTAACCCTTACCATAATCACTATATCACAACTGCTATGACTATGCTTTACGATCAGGTGTGATTTTGAAACATAAAATAGTTGAGTGACCAAAATAGAACAAAAACGATAGTTGGGTACTAAACATGTTTGATTGAACTAACACTTACCACAATCACTATATCACAACTGCTATGACTATGCTTTTACGATCGGTATGGTTTAGAAAAGAAAATAATTGAATGACCAAAATAGAACACAAATGATAGTTGGGTACTAAATGTGTTTCGATTATTCGATTGAACTAACACTTACCATAATCACTATATCACTACTGCTATGACTATGCTTTACAATCAGGAGAATGGATGGAATCACACCCAGGATTTCTAAACTACATTCATGCGTTGAGGCATGTTAGTAAGACTTAAACGATAGATGTTCCAGACATTTGTTTTCCAATGAATATTACTAATATCTAATACTTAACATCTGCCTATTGCCGAACGATATTGTGTTTTGTTGGCAGCTCAGTTGTCAACTTTTTCAGCTCCATTGAAATTGTCCATGGCAGTTGTTTCAAGCCAAGGCCAGTAACTTGGAAGATTGCCATGTCCGTCTCGTTATTTATCCTCTTCTAACTAGCAACCAGAGTTGGATGATAACTTTCCATTGAAGTTATATTGGCCCAACAATGAAATATCTTCAGGGATAATGTCAGTGCACCGGTACTCAAGTAATGATGAGCACCTCGTCTCCTGCATAAAATCAACTTGTAGCAAAACAAAACCAATGAAAAAATACTAGTATTTACGAGAAGGTGATTCGAAATAAATGTTTGAATACCTCCGTCTTCCTGTCAAGCGAAAACTAATTTACGAAAGGCATGGCTTCACTTCCCTGTATTGCAAAGCGAAAACTAATTTACGAAACTTAAAATTCAGAGCAGATAATGAAATTTCAAATCGAATAAATCAAGCAGCAAGGAAACATGCTTTTAACGAGAGCGAAGACAACCGAAATCTGTTTCTTAACATAACAAACAAGTTAAATGTCAAAATAATAGTCTTCTGTCCAAGGAAACACATCTTTGTATCCTAAGAATCCCACAATAAAATTGTAAATGATCAATATTGATATGCAAACTGTGATTTGGCAAGGGTCAAAATGCTCAATTCATGCAAGAAATACATCCGATTGAGGGTTTACAAGCTCGCGTTTTGAAGGGCTCATTTCCAAACGTTTTCCGTCAACTGAAGTGCTACTTGCTCTAGCATCATGTTCAAGCAATCTACCAAATGCCATTGCACTAGCAGAGGAAGACAGCATCTCCTGGCTCAAATCCACCCTATACTCGAAATCTAATTTTGATCCTATGGCATCAATATCTTTAGCATACAAGCAAATTCCATGTTGGGAAACAGTGTCAACCATCTGCAGCTGCTCATCACACCAGCTGAATGCGTTTGAGTCCTCGGAAGGAATCTTTAACAGCTCAAAAGAATACTGGACAGGTAGACATTGGTATCACAATAACAGGCATAAACTCAATAAGAAATGGTCTCTGGGGAAAAAAATACTATTTGCCACTTACTTGTATCTGACACTTGGATAGCAGTAATTCAGCTTGTGAGATAACATCACTCATTCAAGAAGTAAATTTCAAAATTTCAGTAGTATCTTTTGGCTCTAAATCAACATACTTTTTTATATCAGCATGACTGTCACGAAGTTTTTTCCATGATTCGTGCACTAAATAAGTGGCCACACTTTTCTACAATTTACCAATAGAAAAGGATTTTTTTGGTGAAATTCATGCGGCTGCATTCATCCATCACTGCATGCCCACTCGATGCAGCCTCATCATACTCAGTTTGAGAATTCTCCACCTCTTTATGGGAAGCTTCTGCAGTAATACTGCATGTACCGTCAAACATATCTGAAGTTTTAACTAATTTATCTATAAAATTACAATAGTTATTTACTTCAACCAGGTCCTCAGACAACTCACAACTCACTGAAACTTCTGTTGTTTCAGCAACATCAGTGTAAGACACAGTTCTAGAAAACAGCTCCATTCCATTGCCAATTTCAGTCTCAGGGACAAAGGATGACTTGGGAACATATGATACATCCATATATTTGCAAGTTTCCATTTCTAAATCATTTGATGTTTCAAAGCAATGGAAGCCACCATCCTCACATTTCTCTGCGTCAGAACAAAGAAGCTGATCTCTTGGTGGATTTAAGCCATTCTGAATGCTTGGACAATGTGAGAGGATTCTCCAGTCTTCTTTTATAAACAATTCACAGCTGACATTCTTTTCTTGAACTAAAGAAGGATGTATATTAAATTGCTCTTCTTCAGAATCCGAAGACATGACAACATTAGATTTATTCTTAGGTGCTCTTCGAGAGGAAGAAACTGGGGTGCCAGAAGAATTGTAAGAGTCACCTGCAGGATCAGGAGGGCTTATGAATCCATAGCAATCATAAATAGGGAGGTTCCTGCTTAGCATTACTTCCTTCTTTTCCTCCATGCTGTCCATCTCTTTATTATGTATCTCCAAACCATTATATATGTTGTTTTCAAGTTCTTCCTCCATCACCTCCATTAAAGTTGAATCGTCTTCAGTTATGGATAATGTCTTAGAAAATTCCTTCTCAACTAACTCTGATAACTGAGATGGTAAATCCCAAGGGATCATAGTTGGTAGTACCGAATGACCCGCCTCGATATCAAACAGCTGCAAGCCATAAGTCTTCTGCAATTTACTAACTGGATTACTCAATGAGTGTTAGAATAAAGTAAAAGTACTACATAAAAAGGAATTATTATTTACAAGAAAGACTAGACTGACAAGGAGCTCCAGAACATATACTGAAAATGGAGATCACACCCTTGAAAAAGACCCTTTATGACTTTCTCTAGAACAAGTATTACAAATTGACCACATTAAAAGAAAATCTTATTGGTTCCTCAAAACCCTAAAAGTCGCATAAGAACTTCAACAGGTCATAGAAATAACAAAATACCTTTACAAAATCTATGATATGGAAAAACCTTATATGTAATTTAGGTCTTTCTTTTCCATTAGATTTCTTATCCAAAGATAAACAGCTGAAACTACAATGCAAACTTGTGCATGAATGCAATCATTAATGAAAAAGTAAAAAAGCAAATACAATTGAGAGCAACATGGTAAAGTTCAACTAAAACAAGATGCATGTTGCCCACTGTCTTTCTTGAAAGCATTCACAATATGCAATGCATGTTTTTCTAACAAAACATGGTATGAGTGTACGATATTTCAAACCAACGGCCAAGGAGGCCACACCCCTTTTCCCTACAGAAAAACAAACTTTACATCTCTCCATCACTAGAAAACTGTCTGACAATATCCAAGAACAGACATCAATACTAAGCCAAACAACAACCTTCATTTATAGTAACACTAAACCATAAGTCCATAATCACAAAGGCGGACCAGAAATTTTTTAGTGCACTTATTTTATAATATTGACATTAATATTTGCATTAAATCTTGTGTATACATCACTATACACCATAAAAACTGTTAAAGAGGGTTTCTATTCCCACATATATCAGGGACCTATTGAGATTACTGAAATCAAAGTGCATGTGTTTATAGGTAGTCAATATTTTCTTCAAATGATACTAGATCGTTCACAAGAACATACATGCAAAGCAATTTTATTATCTTACTTGCATATTGACTTGCCAAAATTTGCAAAGATATTGACAGATTAAACCATCTCGACAAAAATATTGAATATTAAAGCCTTCTAAAAGTATTGTATCCGACCTGACTATAGGGAAAACTAGTTCACAAAATTTCCATTGCAGCAGCATCTAAATTTCAGAAACAAAAATAGATGTACTATGAAAAGCATTATATGCCTTCATTGTGTTATTAACCTTTTTGATGTTTTTTTTCCTTGACACCAAAACTGGAGGTGCATAATAGTTTTCCGGATATCACTCTGACAACATTTAATTAATTGCTTTAGTAAATGTGGTTGAATGGAGGCTCTCTCTGCTTCACAAACCTGTGGCACAAAGATAACATGAAAAAGATACAAAATTTGTATCATGAAAGAGTTTAAAGGAAGGAACTGCAAGCTTATACCATATAAAGATGGTGAAGCAGCACTTCTGGTGATGGCATTGTGAAACATAACTCTAGCCTGCCCAAGTTGTCTGGCAGAATAAGCTTTGTACCTGAGAATTACCATCACAACATGGAGTTATGAAGAAATATATCAAGTCATACAAGGGTCAAGAAAAAATAAAACTGTTTCAACCCTAAATCCATCTTACTATTACTAGTCAGTATCACAGGCCCCTTTGCTTTTTCAGTAATTTGCTGTATGGCAGCAATAAAACCACGATCTTCGGGGAAATTGATATCAGCATCCTCAAAGAGAATCAACTTTGCTTGACCGAAGCCAGTCTCACTATCGTTAAAGACACATTTTTCAGGAGCTCCATGGCCATCAGATGTATTTTCAGTATCTGGTACTGGTATCAACTCTATCACCTCCTTGTCAACTTCTTGCACTGCATCACCATTGGATATAATTTCCGCAGATTTCATAACATGCTTGCAAAGAGAATCTACTTGGTTTTCTACAGACCTGCAACAAATATATATTACGATTTAGGACAAGTAATTATATTAGTAAAGCTTGGATTCAGCTCAACACTTCAATGGGAGTGATGCTGAAAACAAAGTCACCAACCCTGTAAGGCAGCATGATTCTAATGCCTCACCAAATTTCTGCTTCACGACAGCTCCATTTCGACAGTCTGATGCATTGTACTAACAAAACAATAGATAAAAAGCATTCAGCATTTTGTTAATGGATTATTCTCCTATCATTAAATTACAAAAAACTAAAATGGTATCCAGACAATATAACTCAATTGACCAAGTGAAAAGATACCTTGTAATCACAGAGGGGTAAACTAAGCATTATGGAAACTGCAGGAACATTACTTGCTTCTTATTTCTATTTTTAGGAGTGCATAATGATCTTTTAACAAATAGGAAACTATGCTCAGGAATATAAGCTTCTGAAATATGAATCAATCTTTTAACAAGAAAAACAATACAAGAGACACCAGAAGAAAACTTCACAGTTTTCAAACGAATCAATATTGAGTCCTATGCAATTATATTTCAAAGAAGTGACATAAATATGTCTTAAAAAAGCCGGTGTCAATGGCACTGTAGATATTGCAGCACGAATTTGAAGGGACAGGACAACTGATTTATCGTCATGCAACATCATCATTTCCAGTCAGAATCTTCCAGAACATTTTATGTATGAGTTCAAAGTCAAATTCATCATTCAGCAATAAAGTAGAGATTAATCTTTGTCTTTAAGTGGAAAGAGCAAGATATGTACAACAAGTAACAACTATGATTTAGACTGGCAAACTTATAAAATCAACATAGTTACTTAGCTTCATAATAAAACAAGGGTCTGTTCGAATCACAGACAGATTCTAATATTATGCCAAAGAAACCTAGTGGTTATATGTATCTTCCAGCCAGGATAAGTACCATTTGGATATGGCCACAACTCGAGAAATCAACAAAGAAATTGATTTTGTAGCACCTCTAGAACCTTAAATCCTTGTTCCTTTGCACATGCTTGGATAGCTGCGGACTTCCCACTCTGTAACACAAGAAAAAAATACATTTTAACTACCAATGGAAACCAAAAGCATATGCACCTTGAAACAAACTGCAAGCTTTCCAAAACAGAAACCCTTTAAGAAGAATAGGAATAGAGTTCCAATTGAATATAAGCAAGAGAGATCTCTTAAACCTCATACAATCTCAAAACTGAAATCCTCACAGGAGTAACTACATTTATTGTTCTGAGAACTGAGGACCTAAGTCAATTCACTGGTTCCACTTTCAAGAATTTAAAATCTAAAATCAACCCTAGATGTAAGAAAGAATGGCATCACTAAATCGTATAATAAAGAAAAACACCATTAGGACTAGCACTGCATAAACAAAGAATCCAACCAATACCAAAGGAAACAACAACTGCAACAAGTAGTGATACAAGATAAAGAGAATAAATTCATTAAAAGCCAATCATGAAAGTTTATTATTTGAGTTTGACAAAAACAAATCGACATAAAGATTAAGTCTAAAACAAGCAAACATAAGCTAAACTTTAGCCAAAAGATTTGTGTTTACCCCAATTGGTCCTGTAACCAAGAGAACATTCTTCAAAATATTCTCTCCATCTATGTTTTCTGAATCAAAATTCGCTTCTGCAGTAATCATCATCTTCTAGTATGTTGCCTTTATCAATGTTATTGGAGGCTTTAATGGCTTGAAAATGTCTCTCATGCCAAAGCCTCAACCATTCACTCATAAACTTAACTGATTCAGTATTACCACACACCTGAAAACAGGCATATTAGTCCCCTCCCAAATATGAATTATCATATTAGTCCCTTCTCTCTTTTTCAGATCACAGAGGTTCAGAACATACAAGATAATAAGTTTCACCTCTGAGGCACTTTTTGGCTGGTACTTATCAGTCCACAAGCTATTATGAGGCTGGATACTGCTACCAAGATAGCATGGAACAAATCTGCAAGTGGTAATACAGTGAAAAGGATTTTGTTTAGAATAACATAGAAAACTTACATAAAGACAAAATCTATCAGTAACTTCTCTTTTCGGATACACGTGATTTTTATTGGTATCGTTAACAGTTGCACAAGTTATTATCATTGACCTAATACCATAAAATCAAGGCATTAACTAGGGGGTAACACCTGGCTTAATTCCATTTAGCAAGCACTTATTAAAGTGGAAGTCCTATTTCTATCAAACTGTCCCAATCCTGCATACTTTGTAATGAATAGTTTCAGAGACAACCGTTACACTCAATATATTGTACAGCTAACATGTAAACAATACTTCTACTGGACACATAAAAATAAATGTAATAGAAAACACTATTTAAGAAAATTCAAATTAAGATGTTGCATGTTGTGAGTACTATAAAATTATATGCAAATAATGTGCAAGTATGCTCAATCGCTCAAGTAATAAAGTGATGAGTGAGTATTGTATCCACATGGATTGGTTGAAATTACAAAAGTCTAACCAAAACAAAACACTACTCTATCTATGTATAGTTAGTGTTGATATGTACAAATGTCACAGCAATGGAGAGTGAATGTTGGTGGATATGGATTAATGGTCTGATGGTGTAGCAAATGGAAATGCAGAGGCAAGAGTAGATGTTTAATGTTGAAAATAATGAAATGTCAAGGCAAGGAAAAATGGTAAAAACAGTAAATAAATAACAAATAAATGATAAGTAGATAATCCTCACACGACAAGCTTCCACTGGAATGAATGGTAGGGATTGGTTTAAGAATGCTAAACTTATCTCTCAGGAAGATTTAATCTATCTAAACTTCACTTGCTCGACAGGGTTTGCCGAAAGTGCTCCCGCTATCTCTAGTCAAAGAAACCTAACAGAATAGAACGTCATGGCATCTGCTTTCACTCTCTGATGTGGCATCCTACACTATTGATAAAAATACCCCTTTTAGTCGTTGAAATCCTATCTTAGTCTCTCTCGATTACTAAGAGATTAGGATATAGTATTCCTGGGCCGGTTCAAAGTTTATGAAAATACTATATCCCATTGCTTATGAGGATCTTGTCTTGTGTTTCTCTCGAATACTACAAGTATTTTAGCTAGGTTTCTCTCGAACACCTAACCTTTATCTGAGAAATGGACACTCTCATGCCTCTTACAAGCCTATATGATGAAGCATACGTAAGCAAAGCAAACAAATACCAAAGATAAACATAAATCTACAATTTAAAATAAAGTTTAAACAACCATTAAAATAACCCCACCAAATATGGTTAGTTCATGGTGGGGTTCGAAATATCCATAGAACAAGCCATGAAAATATCGTTCCAACAACCCAAAAATAAATAGAAAAATAACAGCAAAGGGAAGTGAGAAGAAGCCTTCGACGGGCGTCACCGGAGGTCTCCTCGGCCACCACGAAACACCTTAGCTCTCTAGCTCCTCTCGGACGCCTAGCTCACCATTCCTTGGAGCTTTATCAATGGAGGAACACCACTCAAGGAAGAAGAAAGGGGAAAATAAAATAAAGCTGAAATTCCTCTCTGCTCTCTCTACCGTATATCCCTTGCCTCCAATGAGGTGTAATTTATAATATAAATATCTAGGGGTAATGATGATGATGTTGGGTGCAAAATACCCCTCATACCCCTAGAATCACACCTTGTGCGTGAACCTTATCCTCCAAGTGGCAGTGGTCCCCTAGCAGGCGGTTACAACCATCATTTCACATGCAGAGTCAGTTGTCCTCGTACAAAAATATATTTTTTGTCGTTTTCTGTGCCAGAAATGCCAAGGCATTTCAATCTGCTTCAGCAACATGTGATGCCACGACATTACTTCCCAAAGAATCCTTTTGCTTGCTATTTCCTTCACACCACAAACAACTGCACCTTTCTCTCATACAACACATTTAAGATATAAAACAACAATACGACCACAAATGCAACTATATGTAACTACATGATCGTAAAATGATTAAAATGAGCTTTTAAACAAACAATAACTTAAGTGAAAAAGGCTTTAAAAGTAGCCTTTTTAGGAAGTTATCACATGTCAGAAAAGAAGTTCCAAAAGAATAAAATAAAATAAAAGGACATAAATGTTATAATATGAAAATTTCCAACCTTTCTTGAAGAAGTCTACTTCCCTGTTCAAGATCAGAATTTTCCACATTATAAGTCTGCTTAGAAAGGACATCAACTCCATCTACTTGGCTGTCCGGGCACTAACAAATTAATAGTGACAAACAAATCAAAGAACATCGTCGAGTTACACAAACAACAGATGATCCTTGGCTCACATACAATGAGATCACCTATAAAGACAGGGTAAAGGAGATCTACATTAGATTCTAGAAGTACGTGCCTAACTAAAATGGGTTGAGGATTGTGGAGGCTGGTTGTCAAGGATTACTATTGTTAGGGGGAATTATTACATAATGAGAAAAATATTAATGGTAGAAGAAAGTTCCTAGAAAATAAAGAAAGGTAATAAAGATACATCGCATACCCCTTCGGATCTCTTCAGGAGCTGATTGTTTTCTAAATGCTCATCTACTTGCACAACATGTATTTCTACTGATGTACCAAGAAAGTCATTATTTTGAATAACAAATTGATCTTTCAACTTGTTTTGAACAAATGATGGATCAGAGGACTGTGAAACAGCAGGAAAGTTGTCAAGAGATATTGCCCCAACACAACTTTCAAAAATTGATGTGAATAAACCTTCATATTTGCAACTGGTTTCAGTGGAGACTTTCTCAAGAAACATCCAATTATTTCAATCAAGAACTACATCATCCTATATGGAAAATTTTAAATTTCATTCCAGATAAGTTGAATATTTACAGACTTCAAATTCAAGACCAGAAAATTGTGATGGTTATGAGAGAATTATAGGAATAGAGCGAAGAGAGAATATGAAATAGAATCAAAGAAAGGATGAAGGAATTCATTTTTCATTCAAAATATGCATATCTTTTTCTTTACAAGTATCCGTTTTATTTAAATACACAGTACTAGGGAATCTAGCTAAGCTAGCTGGCTGTCCTTGCATAACTAATTCTGTTGTCATTACAGGAATTGAGCTTCTTTTTAGGCTACCCGCTCACCACTCGGATCTGCTGGACTGATGGGTTAATTCCTACCGTGCTC